TAAGGAATGATATTTATTTTTTCAACATTTATGAGGTCATAACAACAATGGGTTTTTGGACATATTTTACATGAATCGCTAACGCGATTCATTCAATATGTCCATAAACCCATTGTTGTTATGACCTCATAAATGTTGAAAAAATAAAAATCATTCCTTAAATAAATTTTTGTACAAAGAGGTATGGCGGAAAACTGCGCGTATTTCCCTAAGTCTGCATTTATGAAAACGGGTAAACAAATTAAGGAATAAAACATTTCGTATATCAAAAATGCATACAAAAGATATAGAATCAATTGAATATGAATTTTTAAACTGCTGAGAAATTAGGTATTGCTAATATGTAACTGCAAATATAGCCATATACACTATATCTATGAAAGTGATGGGGTTTCCCGGACTTGAAAAAATACTTTCAACACTTTCCCATCCGAGGACCAACTTTTGAATAAACTTTTTGTGACCGTGATGTAATATGCAAAAACAAATCGTATTACGGAAAAGTGGTCCTCCTTTGGGAAAGTGCTCAAATAATGAAAAACAGGGTTGATCAAGTTTCTCTTAACTACGACAGGTGTTTCTCGGGTTAAATCAGTTTGTAATTGCCAATATCCATATGTTCTATGTAGCTCAATGTGTAACGCAGTTTACTTGTGACTAAAAAATAAACGGTGCAGGTTCGAATCTTCCCTCATTTTTTTTTTAAATATTTAGGCATGTGATCATTTTCCTTAATGAAGCAATATCTTGTTTTTCAAATCGATGGAAAATGTTGTTTACATTTTAATAACATACCTATTGATTTATCAGTTTTGTTAGTAATAATTTCGTATACAAAGTATCTTATGTAGGTTTTTCATTACTGTATCTTATAGAACTAGATTTGACTAAACCTTCCCAACAGAAATCGTGGAAATACAGAGCAAAGCAATGACATTAGATTTCAGGTGGACACGCTTTATGTTCGCTGGAATCACACGTTCAGGTTATTTTTGGCAGGCTAACCAACCTAATTTTGCATTATGAATGTATCAGTACAGTACGTACATGTATGTGTTAGCATTATAGTGCATACTTAATTCAATGAATGCGTTCAGACGTCCTGCCCTACACTTCTGGGCGGGGAATTAAATGTACAAACATTTTCTCTGTCACGTTTTGGATAACACAAGTAGGTTAGCCAGTATTCTGTGTCACTTCTCACTAATGTACTGTGGCGCGGATAATACATAACTATAGTCACATGCTGAATCGATTATTGTATCCACCTTCAAGTATTGAGGTCATTGTTAAAACGACAGATCCTAAAAACACTGAGATAAACGGTCGATAAGCAAAACAATAAGTTATGTTATCAGTCAATATAGTAACCTTGATACCATTATGCACATTTCATAAAAATTATAAAAGCATTTTCGAGATTCTGTATCTTCGAGGAATTATGACATTTACATTTGTACAGAATAATAGATGCTACTTACTGCCATTGGCTTTCAATGAACAAATGAATGCGAAATTATTCTGATTTATTCATAATTCATAATTAATTTCTTTAAGTAGGAATATGTTGTTTCTTATGCACAGCGCTTTTGGTAGATATTGGTGATTCGCCATGGGAAAGTGACGTCACCTAACACGAGAGGACATCGTTTTAGATAGAATGGGGAAATTTAATCAAAAGTCGTTCCGAAATAATTCTCCAGTTTTTCCACATGGCCTTTCAATAATAATGAATTTATCATGATACTGGTAGATGATATAAATTTGTTATATATAGATTATCAATATCTATATGTCATACTGTATGGGTCGTGCACCAGCCGATAAAAACACTCGAGGTATCTGTTACTCCTGTTATAGCTATTTAAATCGCATTATTTACAAAGCAAGTGATCTTGTGTGTAAAAAACAGGGGTTGGAGTTTGTTCAGGCCAATTGAGATTTTTTTCACGATTTCCTCTAATCTTATCTCCAACTGTATTATGTCAATATCTCTGACAGTAACCTGTAGAAGTGCTGATAGATAAGTCTGGGTTTCCACAACGTGAGAGACTTACACCATGTTAATTTCTCACCATCACACATCCTTACCCTGTACACATCCTAACCCTGTACACATCTTAACCCTGTACACATCCTAACCCTGTACACATCCTAACCCTGTACACATCCTAACTCTGTACACATCCTAACCCTGTACACATCCTTACCCTGTACACATCTTAACCCTGTACATATCCTAACCCTGTACACATCCTTACCCTGTACACATTCCTACCCTGTACACATTCTAACTCTGTACAAATCCTTACCCTGTACATATCCTAACCCTGTACACATCCTTACCCTATACACATTCTTACCCTGTACACGTCCTAACCCTGTACACATCCTTACCCTATACACATTCTTACCCTGTACACGTCCTAACCCTGTACACATCCTTACCCTGGACACATCCTTACGCTGTACCCATCCTTACCATGTACACATCCTAACCCTGTACACATCCATCCCCTGTACACATCCTAACCCTGTACACATCTTAACCCTGTACAAATCCTAACCCTGTACACATCCTTACCCTATACACATTCTTACCCTGTACACGTCCTAACCCTGTACACATCCTTACCCTGGACACATCCTTACGCTGTACCCATCCTTACCATGTACACATCCTAACCCTGTACACAGCCTAACCCTGTACACATCCATACCCTGTATACATCCTAACCCTGTACACATCCATACCCTGTACACATCCTAACCCTGTACACACCCTAACTCTGTACACATCCTAACCCTGTACACATCTTAACCCTGTACCCATCCATACCCTGTACCCAGCCTTACCCTGTACACATCCTAACCCTGTACACATCCTAACCCTGTACACATCTTAACCCTGTACATATCCTAACCCTGTACCCATCCTTACCCTGTACACATCTTAACCCTGTACAAATCCTAACCCTGTACACATCCTTACCCTATACACATTCTTACCCTGTACACGTCCTAACCCTGTACACATCCTTACCCTGGACACATCCTTACGCTGTACCCATCCTTACCATGTACACATCCTAACCCTGTACACAGCCTAACCCTGTACACATCCATACCCTGTACACATCCTAACCCTGTACCCATCCATACCCTGTACCCATCCTTACCCTGTACACATCTTAACCCTGTACACATCCTAGCCCTGTACACATCTTAACCCTGTACACATCCTAACCCTGTACCCATCCATACCCTGTACCCATCCTTACCCTGTACACATCTTAACCCTGTACAAATCCTAACCCTGTACACATCCTTACCCTGTACCCATCCATACCCTGTACCCATCCTTACCCTGTACACATCCTAACCCCGTACACATCCTTACCCTGTACACATCCTTACCCTGTACATATCCTAACCCTGTACACATCCTTACCCTATGCACATTCTAACCCTGTACACGAATATCATCTATAGAGCAAATTACTTTGTGTCACGGTAAATATTTTGTTAATCCTTCTCTCGTTCTATTCACAGCTGTACTGATAACGGAGATAATGTCCAAGTGTTTATATTTTTTATCCACAAAAAATCCTAATAAGCTTCTCTTTAGATGCAGATCGTTGAAGATGCCTTTACTTGATACGATTTAACAGAAGGAGCTGGCAACTAACCTTCCGTTTTGTATCTTGTCTTGACCCCAACAAAAACATTAATAGAATACTGAAGTTTAAACATAACCTTAATTCATATACACTGTACCATCAAACTAGGCAAACTATGAACACCAGAACATACAAGGAAAGTAAGATCAAGTGTTCCGGAAGAATAAGCGGCATCCTAAAAGTCAATCCAGATTAAATCCAAATAATGTCCCGTCCTCAAAGCGGGACCAGGTTAGTGACAAAGAAACGACAGAACAAGTGATGAACATTATGAAAACACGCCGACCTCCAGATCGCTCAAGGTAATACTTCCCAGGGACGTCAATATAGCGACCATAGACATAGAATTCTTTATACCATGGGTACGCTCACCTTCGCTCTCTACACCCCTGGAATATGTCATGGCAAAATTGAAGGCTCAGTGTGCGCCACCTTGTTGATGAGACGAGAAGACTAGTCAAAAGAATCTCGCGGTCACGTAACGGTAAAATTGACAGGCTTTGAAGTCGGGCGTCTCTCCTTTGTAATCTGCAAAGGTCAGGTACATGTATCAGCCTAGCGATTGGTCAGGTTTTTTTTACCTGAGACCAATCAAACAGCTATCTTCGTGCCTTCAGTTTTGCTATGACATATTCCAGGGGTGTAGAGAGCGAAGGTGAGTGTAAGCCCTGGATATCGAGGATGGCATCTATGCAGACAGACATTGTGTTGTTAGTATGTCCGTCAACAGTCGACATATATCACTGAAATTATGATATTTGAAGCAGGTTTGACATTGTATTGTTAATCGTACAGCCTAGTCGTTCCTGACGTGTTTAACATATTTCTGATCCCTACTCTATGTAAATTAAGATCGAGATAAGTTACTGAAGAGCATGTAGAACCTTGTATGTTAGGTTCATGGGGGTATACGGGATTAACATGGGCAATTTATTTCCTTGGTATTTAAAGGAAGCACGTTGTATATATCACAAAATTATATTAAAGGGTGTGTGTTACAGCACGATGAGATATAGAGCTGGGGTGAGAAATCGTGTCGGGGTGAGAAATCGTGTCGGGGTAAGAAATCGTGTCGTAACAGGTGTGACAAGGTTACCTTACTGTTAAAGTAACGAGTTTCTCAATTTTGTTTAGTTTGTGCATTATCTGTTTGCTTTTTAATTTGTTAATATTTTGCACTATAAGATGTGAATCCTAGCCCGTCTCCGCTGTTATTATGATAACTGCAAATCCTTACCAGTTTTGAGGCAAATCAATTCTCTGCTCTATATTGATTTCCTCCAGGATCAAAAGACAATGCAAGTAATTGTTTCATCAGGAATTTGTAAACGACGAAATAAGGATACCATGTCTGTCATGTCGGAGAGCTGTGTTTAACCAATTTTGTTTTTCAGACCTGAAAACATGGCAGTCCACTTACTCCCAAAGGACCTTCCCGGGGTGTTGGAGAGACTGAAGGAAAAGTTGCCAGATTCTATAGCGGTAAAACAAATTACAACAATGAACCCAATATCACGTGTACCACAACATAAACATTACACTGATGTTGTTATGTACCACAACATAAACATTCTACTGATGTTGTTATGTACCAAAACNCTATGTACCACCACGAATTTAAATTATCTATGTCGGTGGTACCACCACATAAACATTACAATGATGTTGTTATGTAACACAACATAAACAGTACACTGATGTTATACCACAACATACACAATACACTGATGTTGTTATGTACCACAACATAAACATTATACTGATGTTGCTATGTACCAAAACATAAACATCACACTAATCCACAACATACACATTACACTGATGTTGTTATGTAACACAACATAAACACAACACTGATGTTGTTATGTACCACAACATAAACATCACACTAATCCACCACATAAACATAACACTGATGTTGTTATGTACAACAACATAAACATAACACTAATCCACCCCATAAACATCACACTGATGTTGTTATGTACCACAACATAACACTACACTGATGTTGTTATGTACCACAACATAAACATTACACTTATCCACCACATAAACATTACACTGATGTTGTTATGTACAACAACATAAACATCACACTGATCCACCACATAAACATCACACTGATCCACCACATAAACATCACACTGATCCACCACATAAACATCACACTAATCCACAACATAAACATCACACTGATGTTGTTATGTACCACAACATACACATTACACTGATGTTGTTATATACCACAACATAAACATGACACTGTTGTTGTTATGTAGCACAACATACACATCACACTGATGTTGTTATGTACCACAACATAAACATCACACTGATGTTGTTATATACTACAACATAAACATGACACTGATGTTGTTATGTAGCAAAACATAAACATCACACTGATGTTGTTATGTACCACAACATAAACATGACACTGTTGTTTCTATGTACCATAACATAAACATAACACTGATGTTATTGTGTATTACAACAATAACCTCACACTGATGTTGTTATTTACCACAACATAAACATCACACTTGATATTGTTATTTACCACAACATAAACAACACAACATGTTTGTATGTACCACAACATAAACATCACACTGATGTTGTTATATAACACGACATAAACATCACACTGATGTTGTTATATAACACGACATAAACATTATACTGATGTTGTTATGTACCAAAACATAAACAATACACTCATGTTTTTATGTACCACAAGATAAACATCACACTAATCCACCACATAAATATCACACTGATGTTGTTATGTACTACAACATAAACATTACACTGATGTTGTTATTTACCACAACATAAACTTTATACTGATGTTGTTATGTACCAAAACATAAACATCACACTAATCCACCACATAAATATTACACTGATGTTGTTATTTACCACTAAATAGACATCACACTGATATTGTTATTTACCACAACATAAACTTCTCATTGATGTTAATTTATACCACAACATTAACAACACACTGATATTGTTATTTACCACAGCATAATCCTCTCATTGATGTTGATTTATACCACAACATAATTATTGCACTGATGTTGTTATTTACCACAACATAAACATCTCATTGATGATGATTTATACCACAACATAAACAACATACTGATATTGTTATTTACCACAACATAATCCTCTCATTGATGTTAATTTATACCACAACATAAACAACACACTGATATTGTTATTTACCACAACATAATCCTCTCATTGACTTTTCCATGTCCAGGGGTGAAGGTTAGGGAAATTCCACCCGAAGCTTGCCAAATTTGAAAATCCCGAGGGTGGTATTTCCCTATCCTACACCTCTAGGCATGAAAGAGTATTTTTCTCTCATTCTAACTACCAGAATAAGCTCAGGAACCATGAAAATGCGTTTGGACTGGCTACCAATATGAAAATATAAATTTTCTCCAGAGCTTTTTTAGACGAAAACGAATCTGTCAGTCAGATAAAGCATACACCATATTTGCAAACAGAGTTTGTGCTGAAAAAGTAATCTCATCTTTCTAATTTGTACGGTTAATATATATTGTGAAAGGTTTTAATTTCATCACGTCGCCTTTTTCCGCATTGAGGCATCGGAGTGTTCAAATTCGTGACGTCACGTCATTGTTGAGCCATTGTGACGTCACGTCATGTGAAATGGGGTGTAGGATTAATTGAATTTCTCACCCCCCTGGGGATGAGATTAATAGAAGCCATCCCTGATGTGAGGTATGGATAAGGTTATTNAGGATAAATTGAATTTCCCACCCCCCTGGGGGTGAGATTAATAGAAGCCATCCCTGATGTGAGGTATGGATAAGGTTATTCAAACCCAAGGGATAAAATATTGATCAATATTTTATCCCGAGGGTTTGAATAACCTTGTCCTTACCTCACATCAGGGATTGATTCTATTTCTTGCTTATTACCCGTAAAACAGCTGCTCATCTAGTAAAGTTATAAAATGTCGACTAGGAGATTTCTCTGTCACACCCTCAAGGTAGGGGAAGATTCTAATAATCCCACACCGGTAAAAGTGCGGATACTCCTGTCCAGGGTAAGAGAAATGTTTACCCTTTCTTACCCTGGACAGCTCTATCTTACACACATGGACATGAGAGAGAAACATCTCACTGATGTTGTTGTCTACAGCAACATACAAATATTACTGATGTTGTTAATTACATAAACACGACATTGATTCAGTTATGTACAGCAAAAAACAAACATCATATGGATTTGCGTATGTACAGCAACATGCTAGTTCTATTCACTGAATTTGTTTTGTTGATAAGAGTGTTTTTTTTACGTAAAATGTTCATGTAATGTACTGATGCATTGGAAAATGACTATATATATGAATGTAACCTATTTCACTAGACTGCTAAATATAAGTAAATTTAACAGGTTTACACGGCGATAAAATTAATTGTTCGTGGACTTAGCGGGTATGAAGTATATGTAGACAGCTTTCCAGACTTTCGGGCTGTCCTTGTGAAGCCGGACGAAGCAGCCATGAAGGTAAATATATATTGTTTTTCTAATACGAATCAAGTTGTAGGTCATCGCTTTTAGACTAAATTGAGCATGCGTCATTTCCCTCTTGTCAGTAAGGGCAGTAAAGTGCTTCTATTATACATGTATGTTGTATACCATGTTAATGTTACTGTCAGTTATCAGGCCATGTCACACATAGATCTATATTTCACACTTTGAAAACGTAAGTAGTTACATTATCCTGTAAGTAGTCAGAATTTCTTTTTCGCTTGAACTCAACATGTTTGCACTGGTTTAGTTAATTATTAAACCAATAAAGCGCTACGAGTATTTTATCGCCAGTGTTTACTGTACACATGGCGACCTTGACGGCATTTGTTTCGCAAATATTGTTCGGTTAAAGTTACTAAAGACAATTTCAATTAAAAAAAATACATTTTTTCGCAATGTCCCTTTCCATTTTGCTTTTCGCATTTATAGTTAGTCCTTTCACTTGATTACTGACTCGCACATACTCCTGGTATTTCTTTCCGTCCTTTGTTTCCATATATCTTTGCCAGCAACGGTGTTTCTTCTTTATTCTACCAATCTTTTTTTATCTAATGGTAGATAATTGTGTTTCTTGGCCTTTTTGTTTGCCTTACTAATTATCCGTGGTAAACACTTCTCCTTTGCTTAATTTAATCTGTCCATGAATGCGTCGTGGAATTCATCCGGGCCTGATAATTCATCATTAAGTAACACAGCATCCCAGTCCCAATTTAAAGATTCCCTCATCTTTATGTAGTCACCCTTATGAAAGTTCCATCGTTGTGTTTTGCCTTCAAATATTTCATAGTAACACTTGAATTTGAAGTTTAGAACGCAATGACCACTATGCACTAAATACTCAATCATTTCACTCTCATTTGTAAAAATAAGGTCCAATGTACTGGGGTCTGCATTCACTCTAGTTCTGGTATACATGTACTCCTTCACATGCTGATATAGAAAACTGTCTCTGTCACACTCCATGAATCTTTCTCCATTTTTGTCTTCCTTACTTTCCCATATTTTCCAATCCAACCTTAGAAAATTAAAGTCTCCAAATATCAATATGTGTGGAAACCCTCTGTTCTCGGCTGCTTCACCGATCATCTCGTTCATGAATGTGACGTTTTTGGATACACAACTTGGACTCTTGTATATACATCCGATCAGTAGACAGTCCTTGCCATCCAGTGTAGTTTTGGCCCATATACTTTCTCTAAACTCTCCTCAATCGTTATCTCCTCAGCCTTTAATTACTGTCTGATGTATAGTGCAGTGCCTCTCCCGTTGTCCTTGACCTCGCTTAAAAATAGCTCATATCTTTGTATACCTACAGTTTGTAGGGTATACCTCGGTAATTCCTGTTACGTCATATTGTTATGTCACACTCTGCAACCTCGCTTTCAGTTCCTCTAGCTTATTCGGTAAGCTGTCAGCAATACTTATAGACTTGAACTTCTTATCTGCGGTTCTGAGATTCCTCAAATTTCCCATAAACTGTCCTTTGGATTTCTCGTCCTCAAAGATGGTTTGCAAAGGTCTGGGTTTGCCATCATCTCCTGTCTATTGCCGAGCCTCGTAACATTTTCACTGTCGAGTGGTCTGCCTCCATAATATCGCAAATATCACGCACTTAACACATATCGTCTGTCTTCCTTCTCTCTGGTTCCTGTTCCTTTGATTCTGCAGCTTTATATATTACTATATTGCTTCGCCTGGCCACACTTCCTTGTATTCCTCCAAACTCCCTTTCTCCTTCTCCGTATTTCCTCTGACGTCCGTGTCATCGCTCACAACCTTGCTGCTTTCTATCAAACTTTTCACTTCCTCAATGTCTGCCTTCTTTGACACAGTCATCTCTAGATTTTCAATCCTTTTCTCGTATTTATTGAAATAGTCCTTGCATCTTTCCCCTATTTCCTTCTCGATCTTCAAACTTCTCAAAGCTTTGTCTTCACATCGTGGACAATACCAATGAAAATCTTATCTCTTACCTAGAAGCTTGTATTCTGGTGCAGATAGTTTCAGGCATGATCTACAAAAGTGTCCGGTGCAGTAATCACATTCCAACATTTCAGCCTTGTCGTCCGTGAACTTACTATCACATAACTTACACTGCCATCCTTCATTATATTGACCCTGCTTCTTTGTTGACCCTCACCTTTACATGATTGTGCGGTAATGACTGTTATTTATGATGATTTACATGCAATGTTTGGCAAAAAGCATTTGTTTATGAATCTTTGTTTATATCCTTATCGTTTTCACTTTCAATTTCAAAAAGGCGGGGAAATCGTACACCTTACCATCACCCTTTCTCCGATATCTGAAGAGTATACTTTATCTAGACTATCCTCTCTGGCCCCTTGGGGTTGTATATAACCTATTTATATCACTTTACAACCCTTTTAAACTCTTCACGTCTATTTTTTTCTCTTTCTTTTTCCTGGAGCTCAAACGTTTCGCTGCCATCACACCGGAAGTCATGTGATCATAAGGGTGATTTAACATATACATGTGTATGTAGAAGTATTTACCATCCTTTTGGTCGTGGTTACATCACACACAAAATGTATGGAATAGTTTTATTGGACATGAACTTGAATACATAAAGTTAATAAATTTTATTTCTAGTAATAACAGCCAGTGACGTCATTGTTGTTTCTACTACATGTTACACCAATCTGGTAACACCCATAACTATGCTGGGTTTTTTCTAGGACCCCGAGCACGAAAAAAATACATACATGTTTTCCTCGGATAGCTCATGTCTTCAAGACTTAATTGACAACAGTGGCCTTCTGAAACAGCGACAAGTTTTTCTTGCAGGTAGGTGTGACTCAGTATGTGTTAAGATAGGCGCTGTATTGAAGGGTATGACGTGTGTATTACACCCGAGTCTCCATTTGTCGATATAGGGCCATCATAACTTAGACTGTTGTTCTCTTGTTACTTTTGTTCCGAAGCTCCAGATCTGTGAAAAAACTGTTACATCGCTACTATTGATGATAACAAAGAGTTTTTAAATGCCTTTTTAAGGGACAAATATATTTTTCATTATCACATTCTATTATTAGTTATCTCTGGGCTAGGAGGGGTCTACGGACTCATACACCCCGTCTGGTCTATAAAGACCAAAGGGGTCTATAAACTGTTCAAAAGATGTCCGGTAGGTCTAGGGGCTATTTTGGTAGCAGTCAAGTACAACTCAAACTCACATAGTAATTTATAATTTTGCAGGAAAAAATGTAATGAAAGATTGTTAGGGTGACCACTTCGTTATCTCTGGAGGGGTCTACAGGCGCATATAACCCTTTGGTCTTTATAGATCCCTTGCCTTTGGCTCGGGGTCTATAAAGACCAGACGGGGTGTATGAGCCAGTAGACCCCTCCTAACCTAGAGATAACTAATAACATACAATACCCTCTTACTATAAGACCAACATACAAATATAAAACATCGTTTCATATGTTTACGTCTTATAGATCCTATATATTGATTGACATGTTTTGTTTCTATCACCAATTGCATATTTACATTTATTAACCTTTCAATGAAATTCCGTGTTCGAATTATCGTATTCCGGTTTTTAGATGAGCATGTTCTTAATCCATCCTCTTTTTCTTCCATAAAAATATGTGTATGTTTTCCACTGAGTTATTGTAACGATTTCCCTTCCTAATTTACATAAACGTATGTAGTATTTTAAGATTAAAAGCATGAAATGAATTTCATGGTACATTCCAGTGTCAAAAATACCAAACAACAGATTATCTCGAGATTTACCGAAATTATGATAAATATGGCAACCCAGTACCAAAAACTGGCAAATGGGCGATTTTTTCTATCTTAACCTTTCCTTACTTCGGTACTAATATACCAGCCTTTCTCCTAGTGAATGGTCTTCCGTTCCACCTGTTAACGTCACAAAACAATAAATGTGTACTACAAGGAATCCTTCGACGTGCTAGATCATGTGTAATCCGTTTTTCAAACGTTATTGACAGGAAAGAGAGAAAAATCACTCGGTACCATTAATGTATAATGTAAGCCAGAAATATCGCAACAACACCATGTTTCACCGTCTGATATTTTATATATTCATCCATTTTTCTACTACATTTTTCCAGTAAAGCCCTAAATCATATCATTTTGTCCCTTTAATGTTGACGATTTATGCGGCTCAACTATTTTTCTACTGTATTTTTCATGTGAAGTTTAAGTGGACATATATGTAAACGGGAAGTGCAGCATGTATGGATTACATATATTCCAAACCTCCTTAACTAATTACTTTAAAACACAATTTTGCAGTTCTTTGGAAAGACGTCTTTGAAAAGGCAAATGCAATCATCTGTAAAACTGCAGAACCATCCTTCGTGAGGATGATCTCTGCAGGTGCTGATATGTATTATTGCAGAAGTGTAGCCACACTGCCGTAAGTAACCAGTGTTTAGAGTACACCTTTATATTCCCAATACTGTTAGTAACCAGTAACTGGTGTACACCTTTATATCCCCACTACTGTAAGTAACCAGTGTTTAGTGAATACCTTTATACCCCCACTACTGTAAGTAACCAGTGTTTAGTGAACACCTTTATACCCCCACTACTGTAAGTAACAAGTAAATAATGTACACCTTTATACCCCCG